TAAAGAAGTCCTTCATTAAGGGCTTGCTTCCATTCACTTCAGTCCTATACAGGGGCCAGCAATTCAAGGAAGTTTTTCCAAATTTGTGGCTTACTCTGAATTTCTGTTTTATATGGATAAACCTCACGTAAAATTACTGTCTACCTCTAGCTCCCACTGATACACAGGAATGATTGATTTGGGTTCTGAGACAGCTTTGAGCAGAGCATAGGCACAGTTTAAATAAATCATCAGTTTTCTGCATGGTATAATAAAAATAAAACCCATAAGTCCTGGCTCTACAGCCTGTGGACTCCTCACTCGAGGAGCTTTGCTGGTTTTGAAGGGCAGCATCACTCTCCACCTCACAGGCTCCAGTCCAGCATCACTTCTGAGTCACACTGATGCAGCTGGGATGTGAGAAGAGAGAACCTATATAATGAGATCCCAGCTCCTCAAAACCTCTTTCCCCCTATTGTTGAGTCAGACTAATGAGATCAGAGGTTGAACCTATCTGGAAATATGAATATAGGAGAACTGAACAGCAAGTGAAAAACATTTTGAACTCAACCCAACTGTTCCTCTCTGATGAATGATCTGATGTGTCCCAAAGACACGTTGCAGTTTTGCAGTGAATAGAAGACACCACTTCTACCTTGAGCTCCTCAGGCTTCTTGGCTTCTGGAATGACTCCCTACCAGCTGCAGAACTCAACAACTGGCTCAAACTTCCAGGCCATATGAATAAGAGTCTATTCTGAAAGGGTAAAATGCCTTCTGCCTGAGGAGTGTGCTGGGGCCAGCAAGTCCTGGACACTCTTCCAGACTATTGTCTCTGTGATGACACAGCCTGCACAGCTCCAGGGTGACTATTCCTATCTGAAAGTTATCCCCTCTTCCAGAAGGAGGATTTCCCAGAGGCAAGGTGAATTTTAGTCATGTCTCCCATCCCAATGGTGTGGAAGGTGGGAAACACCAGGGCAGGCAGCAGACCTCTACCAGTGGCCCTATGAGGCTGATTTTGATCTTTAAGGTCCCTTCCAAGCCCAAGCAGTCCATGATTCTATGATACAAAATGATCTATCTTTACCCATACAGAAATAGTCTTTGTTTCCAAGCACTTGCAATACATCTATATCTGGGCTACATCTGTTTCTATAGAAGATTTACCTTCTGGAGTCAGGCTACTAACATTATTTTGACTCAGTCAAGCCTCCAAGGCAGGATTTCCATTATTATGGAGATGAACTGCCTTTAATGACTGCAATAATATAATTGTACCCCAGGGCAGAGTTTCTAATAACACAATTGCACAGTTCTGAGCCACCAGTAAGAGACACCTTCAGGGCATGTTACTCATCAGGGGTGCAGAACATGCCACCTCAGCCTGCAGAGAAGGATATGAAGCCTAAACCAGTAAAGCTCCTTTTTTCTTTTCCATAGTAGTCTCTTTTCTCTGGACAAACACTGAACACCACACTTCATTTTGCCTCCTGGAGAGGAGCAGCCTCCAGAGCAAGAGTTCTGGCAGGAAAATTTGATGCACAGCATTTCAGTCTCCAGCAAAGAGTCCCTAATGTTATTCTTCTGTGTGAAAAGTCACACAAACCCCAGGAGAAATGCTGGAGCAATTGCCATGGGGGCTGTCAAGGTGGACATCAGAATTCAAAGCAAGGACTGACACATCAACTTTGCTTTCAACTCCACCTGGAATCAGAAGGACCATCTATATTGATGAACCTTCACATGGTCAGGTGCAGTTTGGAGAAGCATCCAGATGTTCAGGTGCCTCTCTAAAACTTGAAGGACTCTAACAGCAGTTTAACCAGAGATTTCACTTCAGTTTCTTCTCCCAAACCTGCCTAAAAGTTCAGGTTTCTGCCCTAGATGAAGAGATTTTAGCAACAGCTTTTCTTGGCATCTTTCTTCCTATATTTTAACAGTTTTTTTTGATGGCCAAGAAAGTCCTTGTCTGAAGCCCACACACAAGTGTGGGCATAGGGAGGTGGTAGGACTGGACTCCAGTCAAGGAGAGAATGTTTCAGCAACCACAGAAACCAGAAACAGAGAGACTTCAAGCAGAGGACCAAGCACTTGGCCTCTCCTGCCCATGAAGTCAGCCAGTGCTGATGAACAATATGTGACAATATAATTTAATTGCACATTTCACAGAGTCTCCAGGTACAGCCTTGCAAGGCTGGTGTGGTTAATAAGGGTGGTGGAGAGGATCCAACACCCTCACTCCCCCAGGAGACACAACCAACCATGCACAAGAACAAAACAACTCCAGCTGCCAAGTCAACAGAGCAGTGTTCATGAGGACATTTTGCCAGATAAGCCCCACTGGATGATCTAGCTGGCAAAAAAAACCCCAACCCCGGGCTGAAGTAGCAGATTTCACACCTGCTTGGGCACACTTCACGTCTGGTTTCCCATCCAGGGCTTGGTGCCTGGCTGGGAGGCTCCTGGTTCTGGAGCCTCATGCTCAGCAGGAGGAGCATGGCATGAGCACCAACACCTGAACCTGGCTGGAGCTGCAGAGCTCAACACAAAGCTGCTCAGAGGACTGAGGCAACCCATCCTGCCAGCCAATGCCCAAAGTCCACCTGGGCACGTGGACTGTGACCAGCAGGCAGCAAGGTGTGGACTATTTACCCATTTTTTCTGACTATGCCTGTTTCAGGAGAAGGTTGGCCAGGAAAATACTGTAGGTAAAGCCTATGCAGCTCCTTAGGCAGACATGTGGTGCTCTGGTGTGGGCTCCCTCGTGTCCACCATGGTGTGACTCCAGGTGGTGACAGGGCTGAGGGGAAACAAGTTTCTCCTTCTCTCCCAGCTGCCTATTTCCACAAAGCTTTGAAGCAACCTGCTGGTTTTGAGGCACATCTCTTCCTCTCCTAACCTGCAGGTGGAAACCTGCTGAAACATCTACAGCCAGTTCAAACAACCCATTCAAAAGTTATTTGGAAGTGAACACAGAGGCAACCTGAGCTGTGCCCATGCCTTACACTACCAGTGCATAAGCCACATTCCCTTGGGAAATCAGCATCCAAATTTTAGGTAAGCCTGCAGATGAGAGAGGAGTGCTAAATAAAATACATCACTTTGTTGTCAACATTGCACAGCAGTGGCCAAGCAAGAAGCACAGCTCAAATGTCTTCCCTTCCCTAAGCCCTTACTCAAATAAACTAATCCTTCCTCCTCACTCTGAGGTTAAAATGAGGAGGAAGAACTGGGCCACACCTAGAGAACAACAGCAGAGAACATTTCAGCCAGACTGTGCCAGCAAGGATGAGGGGATGGATGGGACCTCACGGGGCTGTCTTGCTGACCACTTGTCCCAACAAGAAGGATTTTATCATTAATGGACAACACAGGAGCCAAATCCCTCCCTCTGGCCTTAAATCATAGGCAAGGGATCCAAGGTGGCCAAGCACTGGAGGAATGAGAAGGTTGATGAATGGACTCACAGTGCTGGATGCAGTGGAGGCAGGAGGGAAGTTCCAAGGACCCAGGTGACCAGTCCAGGTAATGATGCCACAGTTCCTTCCTCTGCTCCTGGCTGTGCTGGTGTCCCACTGCTGCTGGGGGCTCTGCCTGCAGATGACATCCTGCCATCCCAGGAGCTGGAGATCCTACATAGACCAGCTTCCCCTCAAGCCCCTGCCAGCAGAGGCAGCTTTTAGGCTGTTGACTTGGAGGTGGGACACCTGATGTTAATGCTGAAGGTGGGGGCACCTGGTGGTGATCTCCTTGGGTTCCCACCCAAGGCTGGCCAGACCTTGGGTGAAAACCCATCAGGAAGGTCTCTCCTGCCTGGTTGTGGACATCATCCATATGGCAACCTTGATTCAGGGCAGTGGGTTTAAAACCCCACTCTGGAGACTGACACTCCAAAACTTCCAGTATTTAATACTTCCCATCCTTTGCACAATCTTCACCAGAAAAGCAAGTCTGCCTTGGGTTAACAGTTGGACTTGATGATCTTGAAGGTGTCTTCTAACCAAAACGATTCTAAGTTATTTCATTTGAAAAATCAATAGACTTTGAGCTATGAGAACATTGACCTCACACAGCTTTGTACTCTGCCTGCTAGAGGAAGCTCTGGGCCATTGATCACCCAACACTTTTCATCCCAAGAAGGGAAGTCGAACAGCTTTGAAAAGACCAGGTAACAGGAGCTAAATAAGTCACAAATAGGTCGTTCATTATTTGACTCATCTGGCTCTAAATGAACTACAGTTTTTCACACCCTCGTGGACATCACCCTAGTACATATTTCAATTCACGTTACAGGCAGGTTGAATGAAGACTTTCCAGGATAAAAGAAGAGCTCAAACAGGTTTAAAGATTTTAAAACTAACAATTTCCTGTAATTTCTGGCTTTTTTGACCTTTACTAATAGGACAGGATTTCCCCCATCCATCCTAGTCCTGCACACAGGGGACAGGTCACACGACCATCCCCTTACACACAGTCAGCAGCAAATCATGGCAACACCAGGCATGCAAATTTCAAAGGTGGGACCCCACTTCCTACTAATTTTCCTTTTGAAATGCAAAAATTAGAAAAAAACCAGAAGAAAAATGCCTTGGCTGGTTTCCAAAAGTCATCTCCAGCTCGGGTGTTAGGACTGCCAAGTGAGTTACTGACCCCAAATAATTCCCATCTGTGGGACACTGAGTAATGTACCAGAGCAGTGTAATTTGTCCTGGAGGGTTTTATCTCCTGGGAAGGTATTTTTTGAAAAACAATGGCTGTTTAGAGCAATGCAGAAGCAAAATATTTGCTTTTTAGAATGTGTCTTTATCAGCTTCTTGGCAGGGATGCTTTAACAGCACACAGAGAGTGGGGTGAACACAATGGGAATAGAAATCTCACCCCCAGCTCCCTGAGAATGAACACTAGCTGTTTTCACCTTTATTTGCAAGTCAATTTTGAGGAAACTATTAATGACAAATTTAGCTTTCCTTGCTGAAAGCCCCTGGGTTGGAGAAAGAAATGGTTGCTTCAAGACATTACCTCTCGTTTTCTCTTAGGATGTCTTTCCCTTTCTTCCAAGAATAAGTAGGTCTTGGGGAAGCTTTTGGCTTACACTCAATGATTACTTCACCACCCACTTTAACAAGAGTTAACTTCTTCAAGAGTGTCTTGGAAAAGTCTGGACCAATGGCTGAAAGAAAAGAAAACATAAAAACCAGATCAGCATCATCCCCTCTGGAAAAACCCAAGTCAGGCTCTTTTGAAGGTTACAATATTCCAATTCCTCAAGGATCTGACTTTATGAACATGGATGGGGCAAAGAGACACCTGAATGCTTCAGCTCTTGTCTAGAAATGCACATTCAGCTACAAACCTTATAACCAGCCACCTCAGCAGGCAGCAGAAACCCAGAGCACATCCCATCTGGGGCAGCACCCCAAAAAACCACCCAGGCATGAGCTCCTTTCTTGTGCCATAACACCCTGACCATCGTTCTGTCCAACACTGCTCCATGCAGAGCAACAGCACACAGGAAAATTGTCACAAACCCAAACCCCACGGAATTAATCAGAAATGTTAATATTTCCAGAAAAGTTGGCATTTCCATGCTTTACATTCCTAGTTATTGCATAAACTGGGTTGTGTATTTTAATGCTATCAAGGTGGGAGACCCTGACACAGGCAAGGTCCTGAACCAAGCAAAACAAGGCAGGACTTCAGTAGGCACCAGGGTACAAGGTACTCTTGAATCATCTTTTCCAGCCCCTCCACCCTTCTGTTTTGTGAAAAGCAGCCAGATATTCACTGAAGCATCCTCCAAAGCCCTGCAGACAGCCAGTCTGCAAGCTGGGGAGGGAGGAGGTGCTTTGGTTTCTGATTCCTGCCTCAAAGCTTTTTTTAATGATTTATTCAACGGGACCTTATGACAGGCAGAGCTTTGAGGCAGCTGCCTCTAGACTGACTTGGGTAGCCAACTCCCCAAAGACAACCAGGAGGTTTTACTTATATCAAGCAGCACAATTAACTTTTGCAACAGAGAAAGCCCAAAGCAAACAGGTGAGGCAGCTTAAGGGTTTTATGAGCAGCTCTTGCCCTGCTTGCTCAGTCTTTGCTGCCAGCAGCTTGCTTTCTGACAGATCAGTGGCAGCAAACTCTGCCTGGTCCCCTCTAACTCTCTCCATCCAGCTGCTTGCCAGCATCCTGCACCATCCTTCAGCTTGCAGCATTTTCCTCAACAGCCTTTCTTGCTGCACCCTGGGAGGTGAGAGTTTAGATCACCACGAATTGCATCTGCTTGATGCTCCATCAGATGATCTAAAGCTCACCTGGAGCAGCTGGGAGACAAGAACCTGTTGTGGGAGTCAGAAAACAAATTCATTTTTCTTAGGGCATCTCATCTGCCTCGACTCTTTTGGATATTGTTCCTGCTGCAAAAGAGCTGCATAAAACATAATCCTACACTGATAATGGGATGGGCTTTATGATCGAATAGATCTCGTCTTCCACTTTCATGAATCACAGTTCACTAATCTCTGAGCTGTCTTGTCTTCTCATCATAGCTGGCTGAGCTCATTTTAGCATAGAGGAAGAGGTGTGTGTTATTACAGACTATAAAAGAACCATCTGAAAACAAATCAAATTAAAGGAGGCATCCTGAGGAAAACTTCCCACCAATCCACTCAGAACAAGGTGCATTGTTATTTAGATCATATTATCATAATGACTTTTTCTTTTTTCACTCTAGGCCCACACTTAATTTCTAACTTTTTTTTTTTAATAAACATTTAGCCAGGAAATTCTTTAAGGCAATGACTGCATCTTACTCTATGTTTTTTTTACAACAGCATCCTGGTTTTAGCTGGAGACTCCAGGCCACACAATTGGCAACAGAAAGAATCACTCTGAGAAAAATCTGTGTAATTTTCCATTTCTCTCTTTCTCTTAACTTTGCTACAAGTCTCACTTGCTGTAAGTGGTGTTTAATCACTTCTAGTGCTTAACTTCAGGACCTTTTAAAGTCACCACAGAAAGATCTTTTTAACAGCTAACATTTCTGAGTGAGAGCTCAGACTGTTGACCTCCTTGGAAAACACCAGTGCAAAGGAAAACACACTGTTTTTCTTTAAAAATATGCCAAATTCAACCACAGATCCACAGAAAATTAATCTGCAGCACATCATTCTGGCATTTTCAAGTGACATAAGCAAAACTGCAAAACCCAAATGAGACATCAGCCAAACACAAGTTATCTGGCAGGTTTTGAAGAGCAGGTTCTCCAAGGTCTTTGGTTTTTGTGTAGACACAAGGTTGGCCCCTGGGTGCTGCTGGGCACAGGGAGGCACTGGAGGGACCCACCAGCATGGGGTGAAGTCTCTGTCTCCTGAAATCTGCCTTCCTCCCATCCTTTGCTGATTTTTACCAAGGTTTTGAATAGATAGGAAAAAGCATCAGTGGGTTTATTTCGATTTCTGTCACACAGTAACACGTCCAATAAATCTTAGCACTGTGAAGTCTAATTTATTGAGCATTATTGTACTTTTCTTGAAAAGCAACACTGACAATCTTTCAAATGAATTTTTCTTCTGTGCAGACATCTCTTACTGCTGATAAAAAATGACTGATAATTGAAAATGCCAAAATCAGAAAAGACCTCATGCTTTGTTCTTCAGGAGAAAGGAGGGAATGATGCTATTGAACAGGCACTTTGAAAACAACTAAACCACTATTTTGTAATCATGAATTCTATGTAACCCTCTGAAGCTACATACCTATGCTGTTGTATTGGTTTCCAGGCCTGCCAATTGTACCAGAGCAACATCTGAATGAGGTACAGACTTGCAGGAGAGCTGAGGCTGGCAGGGACCTCTGGAGATTGTCCTGTCCCTCCCCTGCTCAAGCAGAGGCAGTTAGAGCAGCTTGTCTGGGGCCACATCCAGTTGGATGTCAAGTATCTTCCAAGGATGGAGATGTCACAATCTCTCTGGGCAAACTGTTCTACCAATCTCATAGTAAAGAAGGTTTTATGTTTCAATGGCATTTCCTGTGTTTCAGTTTGTGCCCATTGCCTCTTGTCCTGGCACTGGGCACTACTGGGAAGAGCCTGGCTCCATAACTTCTACTTGCTCCTGTTTATAATTAACAGGAGCTCCTCCTGGTATTAATGGGGACAAGCAGGTGTACCCAACAGTGGAGGGGCAGAAGCTGATTTCTTGGTGAGGGTTTGGGACAGGAGAGTTATGATTGCCATAAGTGGTGAAAGTTCTACTCAGGCAGGTGGTTTTTCAACATTTCCTCAACAGAGTCAGCCTCAGCAGCTACTGTCCAGCATGCTCTGAACTGCAACACTTGGGTTTCTCCAGACACATTTCTAACCAGCCAGGAGCTCAGTGAGCTTGCCAGCACTCTGTGTCAGTCACCTGGATGAATAGGGGAAGATGGGATGATGTAAAAAAAATAATAAAATCTGTTCTTTCTTAAGTTTTCTTCTTATGCCTTTAAAAACAACAACTTGTCCAAAAATCCTTAGTAGCGCTTCTGCTTCAGATGCCAGAACTTGGCAAAACCAGCTGGGGCAAAGGCTCTGCTGGTTTTGGGAGGTCTGCAGCATTCAGGAAAATAAACTTACCTATGACACTCAGCTCTGCACTGGCAAAAATGACACCGTGTCTGTTTTCTGCCACACACTGATACATGCCAGCATCCGACAAGGTGACGTTGGTTATCGTGAGCGAGCCCTGCTCCAGCTGAATTCTGCCCTGTAGGAAACAGTGAAGCAAATACAAATAAAGAAGGACATCCCTCCTTGGAACATGAACCCCGAGGTGGTGGTTGTGCTGTATTTTATACCAAAGTGGACAAAAAATTAGCAGCAGTGGGAAGAATTTGCATGCTGCAGCCTGTTTCTGTGCTGGGTGGATTTATGTCAGGTTAGGGAATAAATGGGGAAACCAATAGGGTCGTGGTAAATGCAATTTATATTGGAGGACTTTCCCTTGACTTCTCATTGATTTAATACCCAAACCATTTAGATGAATATCCCTTTCAAGTAGATAAACTTGAATCAAAAAATGCACTTGTGTTCCATAATAGCATATTGCAGCCATCCATATTCTTTAAAACAATGGTATTATGAGTACATATGGCAATAAAGCCTAGTTAAGACTGGTTGCCATCTTAGCTAGAAGAGAGAGAAATACTTAGAATCCTCTACAGTTTACTGAAAACAATATAGATGTTAATAATTTAATGATCCTTTACTGCATATCAGCCACTAATGTGATTTAAGTACACGACCATCTGCTAGTGACCAGCGTGAAGCAAGTACAATTAGTGTGTGGAACAAAGGACCAGGGTATCATTTGTCAGCCTAAGGATATGGAGCTCGTGTGATCCATTTTAATAAGTACAGCAAAGTGTTCCCTCCCTCCCCAGGAGTTTCACCATTAACCAAAAAAAATAGTCATATAAAGAGCCATTTGCTTTCTGCTTGGCCGTAGGGTGGAAATTTAACATTTGTACAATTTTTATCAGGGTTTGATCAAATCTGGGCTGCCATATTCTTTCACAATGAGCAAAGGGAAAAAAAAAATGCTGGCTACTGGGAAACCAATGGTTTCATTAAGGTCTCAGCAGCAGCTCAAGTTCATCAAAACATGAACATCAAAAACTAAAAAAAAAAATTAGTCCAGGGTGATCATTTTCTGGCCACAGGCTCCATGGTCCTATTCAGCCATTGTGTCTTCTTCACAAGGGTCTCTCCGCCCTTAGGTTTGTATCATGGGTCTTCCATTTCAGGGAGGACCTCTGGACTGTCATGTGTCCTACTTGTCATTAACCAACAGGACCAACAGCCCAGGTCCTTTCCCACCAGGCAGTTTCCAGCCATTCCTCCCCAAGCCTGGAATGTTGCAGGGGGTGGTTGTAACCCAAGTGCAGGACCTGGCACTTGGCCTGGTTGAACCTCATCAAATGGCTTTGGCCAACTGACCCATCTGTAGAGTCTTCCTACCTTCAAGCAGATCAACACTCCCACCAAGTTTGGTGTTATTTGCCAGCTTAGTGAGGGTGTCCTTGATCCCCTCAGGCAAGTAAAGATATCAAACAGATCCAGTCCAAAAACAGAGCCCTGGGGAACACCACTTGTGACCGGCTGCCAACCAGCCTTCACTCCCCTCTCCACAACCCTTGGGGCTCTCCTGAAGCCTCACAGCGGTGCCCACCAGGCGTGGACAGTGGGGTGGGCATTTCAGAGCCCCCTTCCCATGCCTGTTCCAAAGGGAGGACTCCTGGGGGAGCAGGAAGGGTTGTGTGGAGCCCATGACCCCCCACCACGAGGGCCCTACCTGGGGCACCAGGGGCTCCCCGTCCTTCAGCCAGCGGTACGCGGGCTTGGGCCTCCCGCTGGCTCGGCACTCCCAGGCCACGCTCTCCTCCATGGCCACGTGGGCGTCGCTGATCTTCTGGATCCAGTTGGGCTGAGCTGCAAGGCAGAAGTGTTGGGTAAAACCAGCAGTGGGTGAGAAAATCACTGTTTCTTTCCTCATTTTCACACTCAGGAGTCGGAGTCAATAACACGCTTCAGAATCACAACAGGGTTTTTTTTCCCTGCGTCCAAGTGTGCTTGCTGAAGATGGCATGGGAGAGATCAGAACCAGCTTTCGTTATCTTTTTTATTAAAAACACTTCATGAAAAAAGAGTGGCTTCAGAAATCCCATCATCAAAAACCAAGCAACCCTTCCAGTGCTGCCCCAGTGGGATAAACGGCACCGACGGACCCCTGCTCCTTCAAACTGAGACTTCTCTTCCTCAAGTCCTATATGACTTAGGCTTCAAAGCTCTAAAATATTTCATCCAGCTTCAAAACTTTGAATTTACAACTACCTCTGCATTGAAATTCAGGTTAGTCCAGTAACTCAGGCCTGCATGGTTACAGGCACTACTTTAAACCCAAATTCTTAGTCTTCTTTTAGATTAGGGCCATATCTACAGATACTTCCATAGGAAGATCTTCCATGAAAAATCTTTGGGTTCTACCTGTATTAATGACATTGAACAAACCTAGAAAGTCCACAAGGAGGTATTGGAGCTATATTTTGATGGAATCTGGTGAAACCTGGCACTGGCAGTTTTCAGACAGTTAGGAGATTATATTTTAAGCTGCATTTCACATATTTTTATTGGAGTTTTTTGTTTGTTGGGTTTCAAAAAAAAAATATAGCTTAAGTTTAGCCAGACTACAGGCAAATCAAATTCTGTTAGAATTGCCATATGCTTCTAGAGACCATGCAAAACCTCTGACTTCCTTATGTTACCTTCATAAACCTCATTTGTTCAGACATACCTACAATACTTTCCAGAAAGTCCTATTAAAGAAGAGAGTGAATCAGAAGTTTTTAGTGGTCGTTTGCTGTATTTTGACATAAGAAAACCTGAGAGACTTAGCAGGAAGATATTACCAGCAGAGGTCTCCAAGAACCTGGTTAATACTTTTCTCCATGTAATCAGATAAAAAAAAAAAGATTACTCAAAGACAGGTAACCACTTTATGTATCTGCTTTGGATAGGGACAGGGGGTGGAGAAAGGTCTGAAAGGATAAATTGAAATATATTAATAAAAATGGTAAATTCAGCCTACAGCTGGTATGATTATACCTAAAATATTGGTATGTCTACCACGATGTGATGCTGGAAGCATGCATTCAGAGGGCTGAGTGCCTGTAAAAGCTGTTACAGATGTAATAATCCCACACCTACCACACCACACACTTCATGTGGTGCCTACAAAGCACAGAAGCAAACTGAAGAATTCCACACGGCATCTTAAATTCAAAGAACTTGCCAAAAAAAAACCCAAAATAGCAGAAGGGTGAACTGAACAATGTAGAAGCCAAAGAAGCAGTTGAAAAGGAGAGGCAAGTAGTGTTTACTTCTCTGACTGCCCCTCCTGCCCCTGTAATATTTTAAGCTTGTTTATTATCTGTATCTAAAGAGATATAAAAGGGAAAGCTTTTCAGTGTAGGAAGATGAAAGTCAGTTCTGTCATCTGGAGTAAAGAACTTGAACAATTCCATTGAACTGAGACACTGCTACGGGTTCAGTGGCTCAAGGACATCTGCCAATTACTCCTGAATTTACATATTTACTATTCTAACAGCATCCAGCTTATCATTTTGAAGAGAGTCTTATGATGCCATAAAAGGAGCTCTATAAACCCACACAGATCCATTTGCCTTATTTTTTTTTTTCCCAGTATTGAGCATTTTACTGATTTCCCACATGGAAACAAACACAAAAAACCAGACAAAACAACTGAAAAGTCAGCAAACCCAAGCAATGTAAAGTCTAATATCCTCTATAACACCTACGTGTATTCTAGGTAAAAAGAAAGATAACTCTCACCTGAGGAGGAAAGAAAATTCAGTATTTATCCTTATTCCAGACACACTCCCTGCATAAGGAAAATTCTCACCCAAATCAGCAAAAGATTTTCTACCTGTGCAGTCTTTCTGCTGTATTTTGGAGGTGGCACAACTGAACTCCTGCCCTCAGGGACAGTGCTGAGATCTAAACGTGTGGAGCTGCCACCTCCACTGTTCATGCCACCCTCTTGTGGGTGCCACAGCCTCTCACTGCTCTTCACCCCCTCCACCTACATCAACATAAACTGCAAAATGAGCATAATAGGTCAAGAAATAAAAAGCTCAGTGAAAACCAGAGGAGTCCTTTGTTTCACAGGAGCTTCGTTCTGTGCTCCTCTTTGGGAGACTCTTCTAATTAGGTCAACCTCTCCTTTCAACAGTTCATTTCAGAGAATAGCAGGCACGTTCTTGACTTAATCTTGACTAATACACAAGGGTTGGTTCATGCAGCAAATATGTTTGAGCCACCAAATGAGAGCTGCCATCCTCTAATGAAATTTGACAGCCTCCCATTGGGGATCATCCTAAGACATGGTAATGTGACACAAGATTTCAAGCACGATAATTAAAATAATTCAAATAAGGATAGGAAACCAGCTCCACGCTACAACATCTTCTGCTATAGTGACATTATTTGAGGTAATGGCAAGGTTTAATTTGTGACTGGTAGTAGTGTTCTAGAAAAAGTCCTTTGGATCACTTCAGTGCCTCTGACTAAAGAGAAATTCTTTCATATGATGGACCTGGAAATATTTTGGCCCTAGTTAGCATCCTTAGATATTACTGGCCTTGGAAACGTGCTGGAGGAAAAATCTGGTGCTAAAGTAAAAAAGTTACATGGAAGCTGATAAAGAATTCATCTGAGTTGCAATAAAAATTCATATGCTAAATCTATAAAGTGGAAGAAAAACCTTAGAAATGTAATCATGACTCTTACATAAGGATAGCTTGAAAGAAAACTATCCCCCTCTGAGGTGATGAGAGCTGTCTGGAATTTCTGCTCAGGGAGACAGAATTAAAATGGTCACAGCAGTTAGAATAAAACCTCTTTGCCTTTGATCACCTCCCAGTCTTCACCAAGGCAAAGTGGGGCACTTCAAACCAGGAAGCAATACCCAATTCCAAAATAACAAAAAAAAAATCCAGAATAAGCCTGTCCTTCATTGCAATGGAAAGGCAAAAGCAGGACTGGAAAGCTGGACCAGAAATCACATCTGAAAAGGCATTTGAAAAAGAAACAAGGTGGCTGGTGGTGATGCACCACATCAGAAATGAGCCTCAAACCCAGAGAGCTACGGGAGCAAGGCGAGAAACCCACCAGAAATAAATCTGCAGGACTTTGCAACCCTCCCTGAGTTCAAAAGAACCAAAAAGACTACAGCAAATGAGGTACTAATACATATACAGAATCCAATTCTCGGTCGGTGTGTATTGATTTCAGTGTTCCTAAGCCAATTTATAGCAGCTGATGACTGAGTGCAGGCTGTGTAATTCATCATTAATGGCAGATGAAAGGCTCAACGACTTGTCCATGACTATATCTGTTCTAAGGAGATTGAGGCTGAGCCCACGATCAGCAAAGTCTAAAGAGCAGAAAGCCAAGCATAAAAAGTGAGAAAATCAGATGGGGAAAAATAGATGAGTAATTAAAATATGCAGCCAGTGTATATAAGGTTTGTGCAGACAAGTGCATGCATCATCCTGGTCCAAATGGGGATATAGCTTCTGTAAACAAACCCCCCATGGCCCTAATTTGTTACCCTTCCTAATGATCACACCAACATGAAACCAGACTTTAAATTATCACTTTTCCTCTTCTCTTCCTCTCCCTCTCTTAATCCCTTCCTCCTGACCTCTGCTGCCAATTAAGGACTATTTGAAATCCATACAACTCTCCAAGCTGTGCAAATCCTCTACCAAAGTAATTTGCTTGAATGGGGCACCTAAATGATCTCCATCTGTCTGTGTCTTTGGGAAGTTCACCAGAGAGTATCACCCGGGCAGGACATCTCCTTTCTGCCTCTCTAGAAGACTGACCATAATGAACCAGCCTGAGAGTTCTGCTTGGGACTAAAATATTAATTATCAGGCAAAAAGAAACAGAGGGAAATTTGGTGATAAAATCTACTTAACCTGTCCCTACCTCTTATCTACCTCCTATTCCATAAGCTAAATCCATAAGTCCATGGGGATTTAGTCATTTCTTTATTGCTGACACTCTAGACTGCAGCTACCCAGGGGATTGGGAGAGGTTTGGGGTGCTCCATGAGTAACCTTCACACTTCTCAGACCTATTTCTGATTTTGCTTCTCCTGCTGGTGAGCTATTTTTTTTCCAAGCCAAAATTCTAACAATTTGAGCCCTTTTTTCTGCACCTCCTAAAAATGGATTTCTCTCTAAGCAGGATTCCAGCGATCCCTTGGAAAAGGAGAAGTGGAGGAGAAACATGCCTGTAGTCCGTGCAGAAGTGTCTTCTGGATGGAAGACTTCCCTCAGGCAGCAAATTAGTCAAAACTCAGAGTTACTCCCTGCACTAAAGTCTGAGAAAATACATATTCCACTGGCAGAGGTCAAGACACCCTCCCCTGGAGCAGATTTCCCCAGGGGGAATGCAACCAACCCAGAGTGGGCACTGCAACAACTGCTCCCCTGGCCAACTGCCCCGTTCTGGAAGGACAGATTTGGCTGCTGTCAAGTCTGTAAGTGGCAAGTTAATGACTGGTTCAACTAGCACAATATTCTGAAAGAACACAAGATTTGAGCACTCTAAATGAAATGAAGATGGAGATGCTTGAAGGTGAGAAATCCATCAGCAACGTGCCTGTGTAACAGCAAACTGGGTTTTCCAGTGAGCCATGGAAATGATAATTAAAAATCATATTAATATATACTTGTCCTATTTATCTGCATTTTCTTGTGTATTTATCAGTCCAGAAACTCGTTTTATTTCAAGTGGTTTTTGAATTTCCTGCAAATTATATGTGATCTGGGACCTAAATGGAGTAGAGATATAAACTCCCCTGATTTTCACTTATGCAAATTTGCTTTTTAGACCTCTAA